TTTCCCTAGATAGCTTATAGAGGTGGGTGAGAAAAACTCTTCTAAAAGCTGAGAGGAAGAAAGCATTAAGCTGTTAAAACCAAGGGGGAAAAGGGCTGACAGACTGGTTAGTATCTGAGTTTCCTGCCTTCCTGTTTACCAGGGAGGTATAGATTTCTTTATAGATTACTCATGTTAAGACTGCTTTGAGTAACAGGGGTCAGAGTGAAAGCAAATTATTGAAATTGAAAATATCTATCTTGAAGTTACTGGCTTGCTGTTTATGTTCTTGCAGCTCCATCCATGCAGCAAGGCCTATTCAAGATTAAGCTGTTTTTTCTGCCTGTTTTACCACTTTAGTCAGAACTAGACTTCTGTTAGCTAAGAGCTACTCGAGGGTGCTGTTTGGTGGATTTTGCATCCGGACTGATGGGGAGCTCCACGCTCCTTTGGCCCGATTGAGGAGTCTGTTTCATTTTCAGGTCTGGAAACAGTAGTACTGGAATCACTGGGGCTATCGCTTTCGGGATTCATGCGCAGGATAGCTGTTCTCCATTTAACCTGCTTAGCAATGTTCCTGTCTCCTCCTACAGCAGTGGATCTGCTTGACAAGATGTTGCAGTTAGATGTGGAGAAGCGTCTTACAGCCACGGAGGCTTTGGCCCACCCCTATTTTGATCAGTTTCGAGATGTTGAGGAGGAGACAGAAGCACAGCAGTCCTATGATGATTCTCTAGAACATGAAAAACTTTCAATAGATGAGTGGAGAAGTAAGAAGTTTATCTTCTTTGAAGTTCCCATCGTCCTGTCCCTGTCTAGCATGGGCTTTCCTGACCCTTTTTCTGTTTCCTGTGCACGTGCTGAGTAAGGCTGACTTCACTACTATTGCTTGTTAATGCCTCAGCGATAAACAGTGTGCGTCTCCCTTTCCTTACTCTTGTCTTTATGCATTCAGCTAAGATCCCTTCTGCCTGTCTCTCTCCAGACACTTTTTTTGCCTCTGTTTTGTCTCTCTTCCTCCCAGCTTACGCTTGTCACATCCTTTCAGCTGAATACTTCCTCTTAGCACGTGTAAATGATCAAAGTTTCATTTTTTTCCTCTAAAATCGAACAGCAGTAATATGCTAGTGGTATTCACGATTATTTTGTTCTATTTTTCAAGAGCATATTTACAAGGAGATCTTGTCCTTCAGTCCAATTGCACGGAAGGACTCAAAGAAGCGAAGTGGAATGTCATTATAGCAACTGAAGCAGCTGTGACTGGGATTCGTTTCTTGTGCTGGATTATAGATGGGATTTACACTACACTGCCTTGCTCTTAACCATCACTTGGCCTGTGGGACTTCCGTGTATGTGAGCACGGGGATGACACCATGCTGTGGGCGTTGGACTTTGTTCTAAAAAGGGGGATGCAACCCAAATAGTTTTCCATACTAAAGATAAATATACTCTTATTGAAACTCCAAATGGGAGAATTTTACCTGGTGTTTCTTTGTTTACATATTCATCCACTTGAGAGATCAGAGATGTCATTGTTTCTTTCCTATTGCTCTTTCCAGGAACAAGCTTTTGTATGTTAATTATGGATAAGGTGAAGAAAAAGGTAAAATCGGGAAGTGAGGGCCAAGCAAAATAATCCGAAATAGTGAAATTAAGCATAACGAGACTATCCAACCTAGCTTAGATGCCATCCCCTTTCTCTTAGCAGACAAACTGCATCCAGCACAGCGAGGTTGCTGTGGTGACTTAGGCTCCCAGGATACCATCAGAATTTAATCTTTCTTGGAATTGGTCTACACTCGGAGAGGCTCTAAACTTCTGACTTGGCCACTTGCTGTAGACAAAACTCCCTACTAAGGTGCCTCCACTTTTGGACAGCCGTTAGCTCTTCTTTTTTGCTCTGTTTCTCCCATCTCTGGATTTTGATCAGTGCCTTCTCCTCCTTATTGCTAGCAAACATAACCTGGGAGTTCACGTCCACTTTTGTACATTTATAGACCTGTAATCCCAAGGAGCTGGGTTATAATGCAGACAGTCCTGCCCGCCCTTACCAGGGCCTCTTTTTTTATCATCAGCCTGGTTTCTCCTACGGTTCTTTCTCAGTTGTGCTTATCTCTCACTGAGCATCCTCGGCCTGGAATTACCCCTGCCTGCCTGCTACAGGCTGCCTTTATCACTCAGCAGGTGTGGTATTTTGTCATGCAGCCCAGTGATGTGACCCCTTATATTCTCATTCCCTCCACTTTGAGGGATTCTCTGCTTCTGTTGTCTTAAAGGGCTGTTCATTCCTCAATATGAAGGGCCATTTAAACTGAGTATTTGGAAATATGTCAATAGTCAAATGTCAGTCTTAGGGCTATGCTCCCCAAGTAAGTAATAAAAAAAATTCATATATTGGAGAAAAAAGCATAAAAGTTGTTTATAGAGAGATGAAAAACAATTACAAGAAAAAAGTACGTAAATGGGATCTGAGAGTAACTGCAATGTTATTACAACTGTGTATGTAGGTTCTTACCTTGGTGATTTAGATCTCAGATAAGCATCTAAACACTTGTACTTCATCAACTAAGTGTAGCTTATCCCCAAACGAGATGCCTTAAGAAAGCAAATATGGGAGAGCAAGTTTTTGAAACTAACTTGGAGTCACTTGACTTCTCAAAGTCTGATACCTTTGTTATTTAAGTCCCTTGCTTGCTGTGACAGCCCTCTTTCTAATATGACTGGATGATCTTGTAGACACTAATTCTCATTAGTCCTTTCAAAATACATCCCATATGTGCTTGCATGGCTTATTCTAAAGCAACGTAACTGCTCTGTCTTGACCACAGGTATCTGAGGTGATGTCATGATCCTGTCTCATTTGTGAAACTAGGACATTTGATAGAATTTTTTGAGAATTTTTCCCTTCTCTCCTCTACGCTTTGAAGTTCTTATTGTTAATATATTAAGTAGTTAATTGCTAGAGCTTCCTAAATACGGTAGGGTCTTTAGGGCTATTTATGGCCTCTCTGCAGTGCTACGGAATAGATTTTTCTCTGACAATCCTTTATTTATTCCTGCTTGAAATATGAATGAATAAGCTTCACCCTCACGAAAAAAATCTTTAAATATGTATTAGGACTCCCCCCAACATGTCACATATTCCTTTAAACACCACTTTGGTTAATAATCACAGTCCTGGAAACGCTAATTATTAAACCAAAGTTTACAGATGTACGTTACCAAAAAAACCCATCATTATCTGCTAGCTATATTCTGAGCAGGTTGCAAGTGCGTAGCCATTTGTAAGGAGTGGTTGTCTAATAAGGCCTCTACCTGCAGCAATGGGAATTGTTAGTTTTCTTGAATGGACTGTAATGAACCTCTGGATAGGTTACACGTTCCTACATATTAATGTTATTGCAGAGGAAGGCCCAAATAATAATAGAGCAGTGATTCATTTGGTTTTAATGTCTCTTATGCTCTGAAAGCGTCTGCATAGGAGCACAGAATTATGCCATCAGTCCCTTTTACAGAGGTGTTCTTGAAGACATCAAGCGTAAGGCTCACTGGCAGTGGCATATGGAGGTCTGTCAGATTACAGTCTGTACATGACTATAGATCTGTTTTAGACCTACAGTTTGTCTCTACCATTGCAGATGCTATCATTAGAGCTGCTTGGTTACCAACATGCTGTACACAGTGGCTCTGGTGCTGCCCAGCGCTTAAGATCTCTTGCCAGTATATTCTGCCTGCAGTTGACAGCAAAAACTACACATAACTACTCTGAATTACTACCATCGCTTTCTAAGCCCTGTCCTTTGCATTGATGACTAGGCGCAGATCTACTGTGCAATCTAGAAATATGATTGCAGCTCATGCAAGCATATCGGAACTAGCTTTAAGCTAGCCAGCTTGGCGTTAATAGCGCAATCTGTAAAGTAGCAAGGAGCTCAGCACAGGCTAGCTTGAATATTTACGCAGGATCCTCAGAAAGTTTTGCAGCCTGTGCTGAATCTGGTATTTCTGCAGATCCGCTGCTTATTGATAGAGTGACTAGATAGTTCAAAGCTAAGCAAGTATGTTTATGTTAGCTGTGATAACACCTTTGGATTGCAGCATAAATATCTTCTTAGCTGGCATCTGCCGTATTGCGATCAGGCTGATGCAGTCAGCGATTCCAAAGTCCACCCCAAGGTGCATGTGCCAAGAGACAACTGTTGTCTCCATGCAAGATGTCAGGGCACACAGTCTCCATGGCTATGTAAAAGCATTTGTTGAGAAAGTATATGAGAGCTCGATTATATATGCAATATTTCTCAACTCTTCACCTCTTCGGTAGCAGCCTCAAAAGCTGCTGAGTCATTTTGGTTTGGTTTAGGCAGGATGTATTTTTTCAGTACTCGTCTCTGTAGTTTTTCTTCTTGGTCTGTGATTTCCAGTTCTACTGGAAATCTACCTCAAATAAGGGAAAATTGCAACATTAATGGAATTTTCTGAGCTCTGGTCTTCCCTGTGAATTGGACAAGGTGACGTTGTATTTCCTGGCTGTCTTTGTTGCAATTTATGCTATGTACTTCTCAGAATAGTTGCTAGCCCTACAGTGACTGTAGCCTTTTGATATGACAATGCTGATGTTATCCTGCTGTAGCTGCACAGATGGTCCGTGCTGATGAGATGCAGTTCCTCTTGACTCATATCTCTCTCGGCATGTAAGCACTCTGTGCCTCACTGCACTCCTAGGTAAGGACAGCAAGCACAGGGCAGTTGTGACGTCCCCTCAGTTCCCTTGAAAATTGACGTCTTTGCTATAAAGTACTCCAGAAAGCTGGGAGGGCAGGCATGCTGGGGGGGGGTCCTGCTGATTGTCTTAAAGAACCATGGTTTCATGAGCATAGGGGACCACCCTTTCTTCTTCCTACTGTAAGTGTGAAGCAATCTGTATTTTCGCAGAATAGTGGAAGTGAGAAGTTTCAGCTACATACGTCAAAGAGCAGTTGAAATATTGTCCTTTTGAACCTGGCATATGACTTGGCTGTCATGTCCCCTGCATAATCTTTAGCAGAGGTTGGAGAAGAGTTCTGCGCAGTTGGCTTACACATCTTGGAGAGCTGCACCTGTGTAAAGCTGCCCACGTACAAACCTGCCTATGCCCTAGTAAAACGTGGCTTGGTGTTTAGGTGTTGGAGGTTCACTGCTCAGGTGAGTGTGTGCGAACACACAGTGAGATATCTCAGGATGGTGGCGTAAGGTAGGCTGGCTGATGTAGGAGGTATGCCTGCAGAGAGGTGGAGAAGAATCTTAAATTCTCGGTCTTGTTGAGGAAAAATAGAGTAAAGCCATGGAGACTTTTAGAGCGTGATGCTTTTTTTCAGAAAAGGTAAGGTAAAGGGCTGATAGAGATAGCACTCATAGACTGCTTTAAAGAGCAATCTGGGATGTGATTTCGTAACCATCTTGCCCCTGTGGAAGAGGGACGAAGGCAGACCTGCAAAGGTTGGAGTTTGCTGACGCTCTGTAATGATGTAATGACCGAGGGAGAAAACATCTTCATGGTAAAGTAATATCCTGAGCAATCTAATGGTATTTGACAAGGAGTCTCCGTAGCTTTAGAGAATAAACTGAGAAGCTGTTTGGGAATTGTGTCTGACTGGAGGACAAGCATGGAGGGGGCCCTGGGGAATTCCATTACCAGAGGGTGCGAGAAGAGATTGTGCAAACACACTGGAGTGGAGTATATAGATTTTGCTGTCAGTGAAGGTAAACATGAGTCCTGCTTGTTTCATGAGTAGCACATAGAAAAGGCTCTTCACTCTGTCTTTCTACTGAATATACTTCCAGAAAAAAAGTGTTGTTTCAGGGTTGAACACCCACTGACCCCGTAACGCAGCCCTTCTGTGCACTGTCCTGCCACACAGCCTCTAAGAGCCAACTACTATTTCTCGCTGCGTTTTCCTATATCTTGACAAGTGTGCTGAGTTCATGTTCTGCAAGCCCAAGAACTGTGGATGTATGCACATATTTCCATTTTTTATGCAACATACCAAACAGGAACTCAAATGACAGATAGTAGGAAACAGAGTGATAGCGGAAAGACAGCGTCCGTTTGTAAAACCTAACTGTATCAGTGCTTGTACGGCATTTAAAACACTTTTTACTTGAGAGGAATGATCACACTGTATGAAAGATACTTGAAAAATACCTCCTTGACAGGATCAGTGATTCAGGCCAAGGTTTAAAATACTTAAGAATCAGCACAAGAAACATAGGGTGTGTGTGACCCTGACAAATACTATTAGTCAAAGGAAGAAATGATCTTACGCTGAGGTGCAGGAGCACCTATTAGATGACCCACGCTGACGCATAATTGATGTACATTCCTTTTATTAGTTCTTTCCCCTTATGCAGTTTACATACTTTTAAATACAAAATTGAGTGCTAAAAATCATTTAGCCATTAAGTGAACATCCAAAATTCCATAAATTGAG